CTAAACTTGCTTCAAGCAGAGAATGTGGGAAGGGAAGAAAGGAAAGCCTGTGTTTTCCTTCTTCTACACTCAGAGGGCAGGGAGGGAATAGAGCCCCAGAGCTTGATCGCATGAACCGTAAGGGAGGGGGAGAGCAAATATTTAGCTAGGCCGGTAGAAGGTTGCCACATTCTGTCACCGACAAGCCTGCCAACATTCTCAAGGTGTGGAAAAAGTAAGGCCTTAAAGCAGAGCTTCTCGGTGCTCTTTTCAGGTGTTTCTTGCTAATTTCCTCCTGCACTTCCCCGGCGATCTGACAGCTGGAATGTGTGCATCATCAACACCCAGAAAACAGAACCCAGAACCGAGGGTCTCATTACACCGCAGACCCTTGCAAATCTTGTCTGGACACAGGTTCAGCACTCATGTTCCACACGAGGAATATTCCAGAACACTGAGGGCTTTCGACGTGTCTTTTTCTTTAAAAGAAATGCTCTAAAATCAGAGTTGAGGACACTGAGAAATGTTTAAGGTGGAGGTTTGCAGGAGGAGCCATTGTAAATTGAGTTCCAGATTTGACAACCTCAGCACAAGACAAAAACCTAACATGTGGCAACAGTTACCATTACCAGTGATTGTGGGCTGCTCAGCGAGCTTGGCCCCTGGGCCAGTGTGATCTTTCACTGCACAGACTTGACTGGTTTGGAGATTTGAGTGGAGCAAGAACAAACAGAAGCAGAGACAATGAGGTCCAAGTTATCAATGGCAACCATGTATCCTGCATTTTCCACGACCCAAGTCTGGTGGTTCTCATCAAGGCCATCAGACTCGCCAGGTTGCATGCCTCAATTTTTAATTAGGGAAAATTAAACTTATAAACTAGGTATAGTTTGCAAAAGAGAAAATGCCACTTTATTGCCCCTGGAGAGCAATAATTATGTGAAGCTTATCTTTGTACTTCTAATGCCTTATATGACATATTGCAAATAAAAGGGTTCAACCTATGTCTGTGCATATGTGCTAATGACAACCAAGAGAAATTTGGGAAGATAACAATTATTTTAAGTTGTATTGTTTTACTGGTATTGCTGATTTTTATCATAACCAAAGGATGCAGACGTGGGTTTTAGTCTTGGCTCTGCAAAGTGCCACTGAGAAAGTTAATAAGCCTTAAGAGGCTTAATAACTCAGTTTGGCTACCTATAAAATGGGGAAAAGAACTTCTCTTACTTAGCTTGGGTTACAGAGTTTTTCTATGAACCAACTAAGACACTGAATGTGCAAATGCTGGGTAAACTGAAAAAATGCACACAGATGGAAACTTCTATCGCGATGATCATTATTACAAATCATCACCGCTCGAGCGTTCTGGGAGTCCAGCCATTCCCAGTCCTGCCAAAAAGAAAACTGCTAAGAAGCCACCACAAATGGCACGCCACATCTGAGCTTACTTTTCAAAATGGTTTAGTTTTTAGAGTAATTAAAAAATAATTCATAACATTGCATGCTTTGGCCCCACAGTGAGCTAACCAAGGCGTGATCACATTTGGGAAACTACAGGGGCGCCAACCCCAGGAAGAATTCTTTTGTAACACGCACATCACACACACACATCACACACACACACACACACACAAAATACCGCACAACATTTCAGCATTGAGAATGTCTGACCACAGGTGCAAAAACCCACTCCCAGAAAAAAGGAAGAAATAATTTGTGTTCTGTGGCTAATGAACTGTCTATGTCCTATTCCTTTTCAAGTCTGTCCCTATCCCCAGATTCCAAGAGTCCTCAAGTTATTTAGGACCCACCATAAACCTCTACCCCTCCTGTTGACCTGAAGCCCAGGCCCATTCACTCGATGCCCAGAACTGGGGTGACAGTGAGTGGGGTGAGTCCACCATTATCTCCTTCATCCTTGTCTTTCTGATCCTCATTCTTCAGTGAACACTTGCTGTGTGGCTGTGTCACATCCATGCTTCTCTTGATCTTCACGACACAGTTTGAAATGAATATTGCAGTTGGGTAAATTGAGACTCAGAACGATTGGGTCATTTTCCCAAAGCAGAGTCTGGATAGGAAACCAAATGGCGAAATCCACTTGATTCTAAACACCTGTATTTCAACCACCTCACTCTACGGCCTCCTCAATTTCTTCTATCCTAGGAAATTATTTTCCTGCTGGGTAGAGATCTGCAAGGAGGAAGCGGCACTCGGGGAGCTGCTCAATGGGCATCCTCTGTTAACTAGGCTAGTCCGCTAACATACATTTTTTTTAAACCCATTTCCAAACATGGCCAACAATACCACGCCTGGTGGATGTGATGGTTATTTCTATAATATAAGTGACTAATATTGACTTAATTTGCTTTTCTAAGATTATCTGCTTTTTAAAAAGAAAGTTGCATGCTATAAGCCAAGTGAAAGTATTCCTAATGCTATGATTTCTGACTGAGCCAAGCAGATAGGGAGGAGCTCTGTCTCCGTGGTGTGATGTGGGGAGGGGACAATCACTGCACAATTAACACTTTATCATTTAGGTGATCATCTAATCTGATTTCTCAAAGGCTTTGGCTTTGTGGGCATCATTCTCAATGACCTTATCCTATATTTAAAAATGACCTATTAATATTAGTATCTGATAACTCTCTCTTAAAATAATATCTACCTCTGTTATTAGGAGAATCAAAAATTGTGTTGATTATTTCTGAAGACCTGACTTATTTTTTTAAAGAGAGAGGGAGAGAGAAAGAATTTTAATATTTATTTTTTAGTTATCGGCGGACACAACATCTTTGTATGAGGATCGAACCCGGGCCGCACGCATGCCAGGCAAGCGCGCTACTGCTTGAGCCACATCCCAGCCCAAGACCTGACTTATTTTTGAAGGGTAAAAGAATGTTTCAGATCACATGCATCTGCATATTATTTGTGTTTATTGGAGATCTTTGCTTTTGCTTTGAACTGAGACATTACAAATAAAATCCCATTGTGTAAGCACACGATTTTACGAATAAAAATATATGCCTAGAACTCTTAAGATGAAGTTGTTATACAAACCAATAAAATCACACACCATGGTATTCCTTTGTGGCACTGGTGTTGGGGACAGAACTAAAACTCATCCTCAAAGTCCCCTCCGTCACATCCTGCTCCTACAGGGTCCTCCTATTTCAAGAAGCCTGTGGGATGCTTAAGTAACAGGAATCTGAAATGATTTGCTTTTCTGAAAACTTGGGATTCACTATTTCCACTCCTCTTCCACGTGGGCCTTTGGTCTTCCCACAGAGGCAAACTGGGGCATGTTCCTGGATGACCAGGTGGCAGGCGGAGCACCGGCCAAGCTACCTTTACCTGCGAAAGAGAGATGGAACATGAGAAGGAGCCCTCCTGCTTGCGGAGGGTCCGGGTTTGCAAGGCCCCTCAGCCTACCCCCGAGCCACTCACTGGGTGGGGAAAGGAAAGACCCCTTTCTACCTGATCAGCATAGAGGCCTTGTCTGGTTCCCTCTGACCTTGAAACTGGGTCCTGCTCCTTCACAGGAACTGCCCAGAACTTGCCCCCTCAATACTGCCCAAAGTGTCTTTATTGGATCCCTAAGGAGAAGCCAGTGGCCCAGAGTGCCCACGAGGAGGAGCAAGGTGTGAGCATTTCCTGGTCTCACCGAGCAGCTCCCCGAGTTCCTCTTCTGCCATAAGCACCATCTGCAACTCCAGAGGCCTATGGAGCAATTAATAACCTTTCCCCCAGCCAAGGGCAAGCACTGCCTTGCTCCAGACACCATCAGCTCTGAAAGTTTGTGGCGCTGTGTCCTCCCACCTGATGGACGTAACCCTCTGGGGAGTTTAATGACCTTTCATGACTCACTTCACACCTTGATCAGAGTCACCAGCGCTGATTGGTCACCAGCATGGACTCACGACTTACACGGCTTCAAATGGTTCAGAACCTGTGACCTTTCATCCAGAAGATCTCGAGAGGCAACCAGATTTCAAAACAGCAAACTCCAAACTCAAATGTTAAAAAGAAAAGGAAAAAAAAAAAAAACACCCACAAAACCACTTCCCTTCAAATTCTTGATACCCAACATGTGAGAGCATTCAGAGAGGCCCCACGCTAAGCCCCGTTCACAGAAGAACATTCACACCTTCTACAGAAGAGCCAGCCAAGGTGCTGGGTTTTTACCACCATTTCCAAGAAAAATGCTGATATTTCAATTCATCAGCACATAGCAAGGGTGACCTGGCAAAGTCCTGAGCCTCCTTGGCCGGCACCTGCCACCCTCAGAGGGTCCTGCAGCTTAATGCTTTGAGTCCCATAGAAATAGAGCAAGGCCAGGCAATCGGCTCTGAGTCTGCCGTGGGCTGCTGGGGGAGATGGAGTGTGCCTACTTTCAAGGTGGACCTTGGTCATGAGATGGACATCATGACCCTAGGTACATGGCTGACGGCACATAGGGAGCAAAGTCACTACAGCTACAACGTGTACAACCAGAGAAATGAACAGTTGTGCTGCAATTGTGTACGTTGAATCCAGATGCATTCTGCTGTCACGTATACCTAATTTAAATTAATTATTTAATTAAAAATAGAGAATAAAAAGAAAGTTCATTTCAAAGGATCTGGGCCTCTAGACGATGAAATAAACCTCCATGCTCCCTCTGTTGAGAGTTTTGCCTGAGAAGCACCCTTCTGTTGAATCGGAATCCATCTTTGTAGATCTCTTAATGGCTCCAGGCTGATCTCAGGAACAGGAGGACCCAAGAATGAGTTAGAACAAAAGGAAGAAGGAAGGGGCACTGGTTAGAGTGGGAACATTGACAAAAAGAAGCAGAATTCAGAAAACGGTCCACTGGGGGGCTATGGAGACAGACCTCATTAGGATTCCTGAGCCCCAGGGCTAATTCCAGAGTCGCCTCCCAGCAATGGTGGGTCCTGAGGAGGTATCCTGTTCTCCCTCCCTCTTGGTTTTCCCATCAGATAAAAAGGAAGGTAGGCAACACCCAGACATTCCCAGTCAGGGGCAGTTTTGTCCCCAGGCATAGTTGCCAAATGTCTAGAGACATGTTTGGTTATCAGAAGTGACCAAGATGAGGAGTCACGGGCATCTAGTGTATAGAGGCCAGAGATGTCGCCAAACTCCCTAAAATACACAGGATATACCCCATTCCCCGCTAACACACAACAAAGAATTATCTGGCTCAGAATCTCAGTAGCGCCAAAGCTGAGTAATGCTGGGCTAAGCCATTTGAAGGGTCTATTAATATCTAATAAGATTAAGGTATTCAGAGCCCCCCAAAAGTATATCCACCTGAAGCCAAGAGTCCAATGGCTATGCTCTGCATTTTTTTCTGAGCCAACATAGGCCATTTTGCTCATAAACTTTGCCATATTTCCTGGAATTCATGAGCACTTGGCCAACATACCCAGAGATTGACCAATGCTACTCCGAGGGAGGTGGTTGGGCCTGCGGTACAGCTGGAAGGTGCAGGGGGGTGACCCACTCAGCAAAGACGCCACATGCATGGGGACTTCTCTGAGTTTGCACAAGGGATCGAAAATGTCACCGAACAGACTCATATTTGTTGATGCTGAAAATCTACTGCAAAGACTCTACTGAACCCAGAGTGTGTAATAAGTACCTAACACAGGAACTCAGCAGGAAGAGTGCTCTGGAAGGATTTCCACTACCTACGCTTAGTCACTGCCTGGTGAACAGAGCCAAGGCGGGCAGAGGAGCCCTGGGGGTTGGAGTCTCCCAGGGTGACGGAGCTGTTCTGCTCACCTGCTGTAGGTACAGCTGACGGCAGAGGAACCAAGGGAGAGGCCAACAGGTAGACTCCAGCCTGAGCAGGGGGGGCTCTTCCTCAGGTACTGGCGTAGGAGAGAAGGTTCTGAAGGGCCATTCAGCTTGTGAGCCGGCCCACGTTCCCTTCTGAGGCCTGAGATAGCCCCTCAGGACCCACGGTGGTCAGTTCTGACGCCACATGCCCCATACCCTCACACAAACACACAATGACTTACAGCGTTCTTCTTGCTTTGCTGAACCAATTCCCAGGTACCCTGGGAGCATGCTGATTGGCGGTCTAAGGTTGCCGCTCCCAGGTACCTCTGCAAATGTAGCACAAAATACTGTATTATAAGGGAGATGAAGAACATAGGTTCCCCTCAATTTCTGCCCATATTTCTGCAGTGGCCTCTTAAGAGGTCTCCTCACCTGCTGTTTGGTCTCCTTTCAATCTCCCACCACTGCAACCAAAGGGATTCTTCCAGAGTGAAAGCTAATTTTCTTACTCTTCTGCTACAGAATTCATGGAATGGCTGGCTCCATATGGTGCTCTGAAGATTGAGATAAGTTTCTTAATCAATCTCAAAAGACCTTGGATGGCTCTAACAGCAACCTGCATACTATCCCACCACCCTCCCTATGCTCCAAGCACGCTGGCTTTCCTTCAGTTTGCTGGATGCGCCCTGCTCCTTTCTGCCACAGGGCCTTTGCATATGCTCTTCCATCTGCCTTATATTCTCCTCCTCGCAGGCCTGCATCACCCCTTGTCACCTGATTAATATTCTTCCTCCTTCAGAGTTTGACTCAGTCATTGCTTCCCTCGAGAAGGACTTGCCCAGTCCTCCTCACTAGGTCATTCCTCAATACTGCCCTTTGTGGCCTCATAGTTGACCTTCCTAGCTCTTTCCCCAACTGCAGCTTTGCATTAATTTGTGAGTTTAAGAAATATCTACTGAATAAACAAATAAATGAATCACCCCTCCTGGAGGAATCTCGGCTCTCTCTGACCACACATCCCTGTTTCTGTCTCTTAGGAGGTTTCATCCTCTTAGCGTGGAAATGGTTCACGTGCATCTCTGTCCACGAGACTCTTCCTTCCCTCTCTAGCACTTCTCTCCCTTTTCTCCAGGACTTTCTTCTGTGTGTGTGTGGGGGGGGGGGGGGGGCGGGGCGGTACCAGGGATGGAGCCCAAGGGCACTCTCCTGGGAGTCGCATCCCCACCCCCTTTTAGTTTTTATTCTGAGACAGGGTCTTGCTAAGTTGCTTAGGCCCTGGCTAAGATTCTGAGGCTGGCCTCAGACTCTGATCCTCCTGCCTTAGCCTCCCAATGCACCGGGATTACGGGTGTGTGCCACCACATCCGGCCCTCCATAAAGTCTTCTCTCACCTCCTACTCCTCCCAGGATGGAGTGGCCCCTCTCTGTGATCCTGTAGCCTTTTATATGAATCTTTTCACACTTGGCCTCAAATTGGCATCAGGTACAGACGCTGTCAGGTCTGCCCTTTGGGACGCTCAACTACTCAACCCAGGATACTGGTTTACAAAGCAGCACGTGCTGCGTGAATATTTGTTAAACCGAAATGCCACCCGGGAAAGCTCGGGTGACCCCAATGTCCTCAGGTGGCAGTTCTAACACGGAGACCAGTGACGTGCCACCAACCCAGGCTTCTAAGAGAGGATGCAGAGTGCAGATGGGAAAGGCGTTCTCTCAAGGGAGAGAGAACCCAGAAAGGTGGCGAGACCTTTCTGTTTAGCGATAGGTCACTGCCGTCTTTGAGGTCCTGTGGCATTTCTCCCCTTGTTGCAGAGAGCTGTCGTGGTGGTAGCTGTTTCTCCACACAGAAGGTGGTCAGATTGAGCAAATAAAAATATAATATTCCCAGTTAAATCCAAATTTCAGATAAACAACAAGTAATCCTTTGTATAAATAGGTCCCAAATATTTTGTAGTGGTTATACTGAAATTGAAAAAAAAAAAAAAACATTCATGGTTGGGTGCCGTGGCAAATGCCTATAATCCCAGCAACTTGAGAGGCTGAGGCAGGAGGATTGCAAGTTCAAGGCCAGCCTCAGCAACTTAGTAAGGAACTAAGCAATTTAGCAAAAGTCTGTCTCAAAATTAAGAAAAAAAAATAGATAGGGATGAGGATGTTGCTCAGTAGTTAAGCACCCCTGTGTTCAATCCTCAGTGCCCTCTGCAAAAAAATCATCCACGATTTAGCTGAAATTTGAACATAATATACGTATGATCTGACAACCTTAATTATTTGCCTTTAATATGTGCTGAAACAGGCCATATTAACTGGTATTTCTAAATGACAATCATCAAGAATATAAATATCAGTAAATGCTTACCAATGTATGGCAATTCTTCCTCAATATTTACTTGTTTGCCTACTGCCCATAATATCACTGCCTGAATCATTGTTGTCTTAAAGGGCAGGTGCTGGACATTTTTTATCCTTGTTCTAGACTCTTTGGAACATTGTCACCTTCACATGCTTTTAGAGCACCTATGTATTATTGCATGTTCTGACCAGGAAGAAAGAATGGCCTTTGGTAATGGCTGTTTGAACATCCCACAGAAGACTTGAACAGCAGCAACAAGCTATACTAACAGAAAAGCAGAAAGCACTTTTGAATATTTCAAATCTATTAACAGGAAGGTTCAGGTACAAGGAATGAAAAGTTCAAATTCTCCTGCAATTTTCCCGGAGACTTTTCCAGCAAGGGGGGAATTAAAGTGCAAAATGAGATGTGCACAGAGTTTTGTTGTTGTTGTTGTTTCCTGAGAAAATGGAACTGTAGGCTAGAAATTGGTTTGCTCTCTTTGCCGTTTACAAATTTTCATATTAAGATAATGATGCTCTGCTTGTGCAGAAGCTCGAGCAGTGACTAAACAATGTGACATGGCACTAGCTTGTCTGCTTCCCACCAGCTCTCTCGGATCTCTACAGGGATCCTCTGACCACGGAAGGGGCATTTCCAGAAGGCAGGGGGGAAAGAGGTCAACTGGTCGACCATCATGTCCAGGATCTTTAATGCCAATTTGCGAGGAATCATCTTTTGATGGGTATCTGTGAATGGGGTGGGAAGGGCGGTGAGTCGTGTTATTTATTTCACTTCCCTTAAAGGAAGGGTGGAGCCTACTCAGGCCCCAGAGAATTCAAAGGACATAGATTTGGGAGAGACACTCAAAACAAGCACAGCTAATAAGTGAGTAATCAAGTGGGGAGCCGGTTCGGATATTTCCACAGGAAACTGCTGCTCCTCTGCGTGATGGACGCCCCCGCAGCCCTTTTGGGGTGTTGTGTTGGTGTGCAGTCTCAGCTGCCAGTGGGGCTGGGAAGCCCGTGACACGCTCAGGCTGGTAGAAAAGGAGAAACCCAGTGGCCTCTCTGCATAGGTCTCTCCCAGGCGTGAGTCCTGGGACCGATCTGATACCACCAAGGGACCCAGGGTGGAACATAGAAGCAACAATCCACACAGAGACCACAACACAATCTACACCTGACAGTTGGAGAATAGCAGGGCCTCGGATCCTGGGGAGCGGCAGGGGCATGATCTGCTTCTGCATTTTGGTGTGAAGGGCCACAGGGGTGAGGGGAGGACTTCACCCCCTCCCTGCTCCACACTAACGCTCACACTGAGGTGTGAATCAGTGTGACATCGGGCACGGAGCCACCCGAGGACAACCAGAGCTCACTAGCAGCACCAGGAAAGGGGTCAGCCATATCCCTCAGGTCATCTCTCCTGTTCTTTGCCTTGTATCCCCCCAATTAGCACTGTCCCTAAATCTTTGAAGTGACTGATCACCCATCCCTGAGGCAGCTCCTTGGGCCTAGTGATCAGAAGGGAACAGGATTCCCCCAGTGGGGACACCTGGGGTGGGGTCGGACCTGGCTCCGTTGTCTTGACCCATCACTTCGGGAGCCAATGACTGGGCCTCGATTTTTTCAACCACCAAACTAGCTGTGTTAGCTTTTCACACTGTGACCAAAATACTTGACAAGAACAACTTAGAGGAGGAAAAGTGCTTCAGGGGTTCCGTCCACGGTGGGCTGACTCAGTTTGCCCTGGGCCCAAGTGAGACAGAACACCATGGCAGAGGGTGTGGTAGAGGGAAGCTGTTCAGCTCCGGGGAGCCAGGAAGCAGACAGGGAGGGAGGAGCCTGGGGAACAAGATCTCACCACGCCCTAGGGCATGCCCCCAGTGACCTACTTCCCCTAGCCATGCCCCACCTTTCAAAGTATGGATCCATCAAATGGATTGATCTAATCATTTCCCCTCTGAACATTTTTGCATTAACACAGGAGATTTCAGGGGACACCTCATTCTCAGACCACAATCCCGGAGGACTACTCTGGGTCTGCAAACCACGAGAAATAAAGATGCCTCAGGACATAACATTTGCATAAGGAAAGTTGACATTTTCCTCTGCAGTATGGATTTGAGCTCCTTACTTAACTACCCTGGATTCCAATACCCAAAATTGTCTAAAGCTAAACCTTCTGGACTGTCTCCGACATAAGCAGCCAATGAGGGGAGAGCGAGAGAGACAGGGAGGCTATTTAAACAAAGACACCTTCACGGGGCCCTGAAACCGTTATCTTTCCTGAAGTGTTAGCACGGAGCTGACTATATCAGTTACGTTTGAGCTAACGTCTCCATGTTGAGAGAATTAGGATCAAAAGAATATAATGAGAGCCAACCAGTTTTTATACAACTTTATTTTTTTAGGATTGGATCTCCTCTTTTCATTTTAAGTTATATATATTTTTTTAAATCCAAATTAAACAGCCACTTATACCTTGCCCTGCTCTCTCTGTAAGTCCTCTCATAGCAGGAAAACTCTGCAAGACGCGTTGAGTGGGAAATCCAGGCACAGAACCTGGACAGATCAACCTGCACACTGGTCCAAAGTGTATGGCTGACTGGCGGCAAGTGAGAAACTGCAGGTGTGTGGGTTTATTCCCTACTCTAATAAGAAGGACCATTTTTTGTGCTGTTAACCAGGGGATTCCGTTTGGGGTCTTATTAAATTGATTGGCAAATGAGAACTTGGAAACACCCTAGAAAGGTAAGGTTTGCTGGAATTCAGTTGGGATGTGGGCTGAGGCACCTACTCTGGAATCCCAGAGCAGTCTGGGAACAGTTCTAGAACATTCACTGGGACAGTGTGAATGAACCATTTCGGAACAGTCACTGTTAAACTCAAAACTAGTGGCTGGTCATGTATGACTAAAAAAAAAAGAAAGAAAGAAAAAATAAAAATAAATCGTATGGTTAAAAAAAAAAAAAAAACTAGTGGCTGGACCCAGCTAACAACAGTTCTGTCCAGGGGACTGGTGAGGAGCCGTGCTCTCTGGGTAAATGTCACCAGAGAGCAGCATGCCAGGAGAGGGGCACCAACAAACTCTCTGGCCACAAAGGCCTTCTTGGGTAGATTCAGAGTGTGATTGTGGGCATCTAGCAGCCTCTCTGCTTCTGTGAGTCTTAAGGACACTCGGGATGTTTTCCTTAGTGTTGACGATGCTGGGGAAAAGAAGAGCTCTTGGAAGCCACCCTGAGAGAGAAGCTCATGGGGGATGACGTGTGGGGACTCCAGCAAAGCCAGCATACAACAGTCTCGTTTTCATGGTGTGTCGGATTAGATCTAGGCTTCAGCTACTGTGCGTGTTGTGAGGCCCTCACTCTCAGCCAGGGCCAACATCTCACAAAACTTTACAACCCAATGTGACCTCCAGGGACCTGGGCCAGCTGGGAGACAGAGCAGCCAGGGCTCCTGCCTCTCCTAGTCTCCCTCCCTCCCTCTTTCTGTAAGCTCCACAACCAGGGTGGATATTGACTCTGCCTTTGGTCACACCCATCCATTTGCACATCTGTTCACACAGAGTGTAAAAAAAAAAAAACCTAGGGTCACTTCAATTTACCAACGTGTACTTGAGCAGGACAGAGGTCCTAGGACTCGGCAGCACTCCAGGCCAACAGGGCTCAGTGTCTGCTCTTACAACGTGGCAAGCCACTTTTATAACTAGGAAGACAGGAAGGGGACATACAGAGATGGCCCAACTGGTGCGACTTGGCGCTCACCTTTGTTGGAGCAGAATTTGGCAGCCTTGGACTTCTAACAAACAAGAAGAAAATGAACTTGTGTCTTATTTACGTCCATTCTTGTAGAGTCTCTCTGTCACTCCCAGCCCAAGCCAAATCTTCAGGACTCAATAATTGTTCCTTCTTTTTTTTCAGTGTGAGGATGAGGCCCACCCCACCATGGAGGGCCATCTGTTTGACTCAAAGTTCACAGACCCAAATGTAAACCTCGTCCAAACTATCACAGAAATATCCAGAACAATGCATGACCATATATCAGGCCACCGTGGCCCAGTCACATTGACACATCAGTTAACCATCCCAGGATGAGAACTAGGGAGTCACTGGCCTGTGGGTGGGTGGGTGGCTGTGGAAGGGTCCCCAGCTGGTGGCTTGACCTAGAAGAATTGAGGGGAGAGCAGATCCCAGGGGGCATCACGAGGTCCAGGTCAGGGGAGGAGCAGCAGGTACAGCCAAAAGAGATGGAGAAGACATCTGACCAGTCCTCAGAGACCAGCACACTGTGGGAAGCCAGGTCACCCCAGGACCCGGTGGGGCTTCAGGCTCCCACTGAAGGAGTTACCAGAACCTGGGGACATCAGAGTAGAGCTGGCATTCAGAGAGGCTCACTGTCCAGCAGGAAGGCCATTCTCCTGCCCCTGGACAAGGCTGCACTCAGAGACCAGGCAGGCCAAGGCTCCTTCCATTTCCACAATGAGGAACAGATTGTAGTTTTTTCCCTTTTGCATAGTTTTGCTTTCTATATTTTGATGTTGGCTATTTTATCGACAAGATTATGTAATTCTTATTTTCATTCTTTGGGTATGAATAATATAAATCCTGATTTCACTTTTGTTTTGATTGTCCGGAAATATTTTATGCATACTTTCATATTCAGTTTTAGTGGGTCATTTTGTTTCACGTGGACATCTCGCCAATGACATATAATTAGATGGGTATGTAATTATGTATATGAGACTTAATCTGAGAATCTCTATTTTTTTTTGGTACATTATAGTTATGCAAAATAGTTGGGTTCGTTGTGGCGTAAAAATGCATGCATGGAATTTAATTGATTTCATTTCAGTCCCTAGTGAAATCTCTATTTTTATTAAAGATTTTACCACCACCACCACCACCACTACCCCTCTCCAAAAAAATAAATAAATAAATAAAGGACCGCAGAGACCAGGAACCTGAGGGCATAGTAGAAAGGTCAAGTTCCTTTCCTGTCCTTGACCATGGGATTCGAAGCCAGATGGACCTGAGTTCATCCTAGCTGTACGTTCCTGGGCAAGACGGTCACCTCTCTGGGAATCAGGCTCCTTGTTTATGAGGTAGGGTGGCTAGCCCCTCCCTGATGATTAGTTGCTATGGCGAACAGATAATTCACTTACCCCATGTGGCTGGCCATGACCTTTCCATGGAATACACAGGAATAATCTCATTGTCTCTGCTGGACTGTTTTTCTCCTCTCTCTCTAAAACCCTCTAAAGCATCATTCAACGCCACCCCCCCCCACTCCAAATTTTGTTTTCCTTTTTTGTATTTTGTTGCCGTGTTAAGACTTCTATCACTTCAGGGTCTCTCAAAGGTGTTGAATGTCTACCTGTGTTCCTGCCACTGGAGTAATCCTTCTAAACACATTCAAAAATGTTAATAACCAGTCTCGTGTTGCAGCTGTGCTTTAAAATTGGGTTGAAAATTAAAATATTATAAATTGATGCTGTTGGGAAATGAGTGAATTGCTTAGCAGGCAGGGTTAAGGGGGGACGCTGGTGGGCATGGGGTGTCTTTTGGGGGTGAGGAAAAATGTCCTGGCATTAGATAGTGATGATATTGGAACAACTCTGTGAATGTACTAAAAATCACTAAGGAGTACAATTAAACATGGTGAATTTCGTGTGTGTCAATTACATCCCAATAAAATCAAATTGCTGTTGCCTGGGTCAAGTAGAGGATTGCCTCTTTCTAAAGTCAACTGTTACAAAAATGAGACACTTCCTGCACACAAGATATTGTTGATTTTCACGGTGGTACTCAATGGCCATGCCCCAGAGTTACAGTAGGTGGAATTGGCTATGACTTCCCATCATGCAGGAAGAGGATGCATCAGCAGAGGCTAAGGTAAATTTGAAGGAGGTGAACCTTGAGCTGAGGCTCCAGGGAGGAATGGATGGACCAGGAGAGGGGGTAAGAAATAGCTGTCCCAAAGAAGAATCCAGAAGGAGGGAGAGATCATGGCGTTCTCTTTACTTTCTTGTCATTGTTTTAAATTTTTCATTTATTATACAGTGCTCCCAAGAGGAGACGTGAGGACTGGTTGTCTTGGTTGGCTTTCTGAGATTAAAACAGGATACCTGAGACTGAGTGATTATAAGGAAAAGAGGTTTGCTTTGGCTCTTGGTTCTGGAAGTCCAGGGTTGGGTGGATACACCTGCTCGGCCTCTCCTGCATCCTAGCCTGGAAAAAAAGCAGAATGGAAAGTGGGCGCAGGTGAAAGAGAAAGTGGTAGCTAGCTCATTCCCTGCAGAGAAACCGTCTACCATTCACGAGGGCAGAGCCTTCAGGGTCCCAAGTGCCTCTTGCAAGCCCCACCACCTCCCAAGCCCTTCGCCCTGGGAATCAAACCTCAGCATGAGTCGTGTTGGGGACCAGCCATCTTTCAACCCCAGCACTGCTCTCTGGGACAGAGGAGTTGGCTGGGGGGCAAAGAGCCACCTTAGACAGTAGCAGGGACCCTGGGCCACCCTGGATTCATTCCTCATTCATTCTGGTGCATTTGCACACCTGAATCCTGGGCCCACGCTCGGCAAACACAGCCGGCCAGAAAGCAAGCACTTTGACCGGGCCTTTGCAGCCTCTCACGTTGGAGAAATGAGCTTGCTTCATTTTCAAGAAACAAAAGGCCACGAGGCGGAGGGGACATTTCCTAGGCAGCCATCTTGCTTGGTGGGGGTGTGAAGTGAGAAACCTCATGACTCACAAGGCTGGGGAAGCCAGCACAGAATGAGTGCAGGCTCCGGCTTTAAAGGCCAGTTTGACAGTTCAAGGCAGGCTTTGTTGGCCAAGTCACAGCACGTCCGGGAACCCTCACAAATGTTGACACGAGCTCTGGGCTCTGCAAAATGTCATGGGATAGAGGACAAACCGCCGTGCCGGGTCAGCTGGCAGAGCTCAGGAAGGTAGTGCATCCCGGGCCCTGGGTGGATCTACTGAGGCCTCTCAGCGGAATCAGGATCCCCGTGGGGTGAGCACCTCAGGGTCGGGAGACAGGAAAGCAACTGGCCCCCTCCTTCTGAGGCAGATTGTGCCACTAACTTGTCCAGGGGCCTGTGCCTACCCTCTGGGCTTCCGACACAAACGATCCTTATGTCAGTATCCTTATGTCCATTCCATCTTACTGGGATATTTTGTAGGCACCCTCTTTGGTGTGATGGAAATCTGGGCCTTCACCATCCTCGAAGCCTTTGGTATCAACAGGGTTCTTTGGTTAGCAGCAAAGCACAGTCTGACTTCTATTTAAATATCCACTCCTGCTCCCCACCTTCCAAAAAAAAAAAAAAATACAGTCTGCCCTGAAAAGAAATGGTTTGGCATAGTGAACATTTAAACATCTATTTTCCAGATGGATCTCTTTGTTAAATTTAAAAAAAAAAAAGGCTAAACCATGTGGAATGCTCCTAAGTGAATATTATTGTTTACTAGACTTCTTATTCCATCTTATGCATTTGACAATAAAGTATCAGCAAGCTCATAAAGAAGGATTTTTTTTTAGGTCCATAATCTTTCTAACCATAACAAAAAGGCGGTAAATATATTGTACAAGAGCGCGATGGAAAAATGTGCGAAAGTATTTCCATAAATCAAATGTAGCACTTTGGCGTCGGCCCGAAAGCATTAAATTTAGTAAATTAGAACCAGATGATTTTAAAATAGAAACTTACATAACTTGACGGTGTGACACCCTCCTCCCCACTGCCCCCCCCCCCAATAAGTTTATTTTCATGAAGTTGCTTTGGCTGCTACTGAAATAGGTATTTAAGAAGTAAGGGCAGAGCTGGGGATTATTCATCTCTGTAGCTCTCACAGTGCCTTACTGTTACACTGGGCAATTATTAAGTATTGGTGGACGAGGGGAACGAAGTCTCAGCAACAACTAAGCCCACACTAATTGGGAAGGAAATGTAACACAAACATCTTCAGGATCCACAGGTAGACAAGACGCTACCACCCCCCACCTAATAGAAACAGCATGTCCCACTTTCCCTTCCAAGGTTCAAGTTGTGCATATAAGGGGATGAATTAGAAATAAAAGGTAATCGAGATTTGCTTCTCACTGGAGTCACCATGCTCCAAACTACCATCAGCTTGGAATCTTCCTTTGCACACAATATCACAGTGTAGTTGACCCTTAAGTCAAGCTGGGAGTTCAGCACTACACATTGACTGAGCACCTGTGATCTTTAAGATCCTATATGAGGATCCACAGGGAGGACAAACACTCAAGGTTTGCGCTTCTCCGTCTAGGAGAACACTTCCTGGTAGCAGGCTAGCTGGACACGTAGTTCTAAGGCAAAGACACCTGACTTCAATGAGGTGAGGCAGCAAAGTATGTTTATTGCCCCGGCTGGATCCAGAGGCAGAGCGCCAAGACCAGGATTCTCTCCCTCCCTCTTCTCTAAATGTCTCTTTTTTGTGTTTGGACTCCTTCTTTCTTGCTATAGATGCTTTCTACAAAGAGAATAAGACATTTATTGCTGATCAAGTTCATAGTCCAAGATCCAAAGATGAACAGCGTCTCTCATTCCCAGGCTTCATATAAAAATCTCAAAAAAAAAATCTCATATGGACTCTCTCTGAGTTGCATGCCAAGTTCTTAGATCAATCACTGTGGACGGGGGGGATGCATTTTATGACCCACCAGGCCTGAGTGGCCCTTGGGACTCAGTGGATGAATGGAATGCAAGGGATTGGTGCCATAAATATCAAGGGTATGGAATTGACATGGCTTGGCAGCTGGGTGGATATGGGAAGTAGATGGGAGAAAGATCAGACTGAGGCTTTAATTCTAGGTACCCTGACAATGGTAATGTCAAAAATAGAAACAGAATGGTTTGAAGTAGACACTGTTCATGGAGCCTCCGTGAGAGTTCTCCATAGAAACAGAACCAGCAGGGTGTGTGTGTGTGTGTTAGTAAGCTTTTGATTACTATAAGAAAGTACCTGAGAGAATGAACTTAAATACAGGAAAGGTTTATCTTGGCTCACAGTTGGGGAGGTTTCAATCTAGAGTGGGTTGACTCCAATTGCTTTTGGAACCATGGTGAGGCCATACATCATGGAAGGAGCATATGACAGTGGAAGCTGCTCACCTCCTGGTGGACGCACAAAAGACAGAGGAGAGACCAGTGTCTCATAATCCCTTTCCAGTGACCTAGCTTCCTCCCACCAGGCTCCACCTCCTGTCAATAGCTCCATGGCCAGGGGCCAAGACTTTCAACACGTGGGCCTTTGGGGGACACTTATCCAAACCTTAGCAATGTGTGTGTGTGTGTGTGTGCATAAATGTATGGAGAAAGAGAAAGAGATTTGTTTCCAGGACTTGGGTCACAAAATTCAAATTCTGCCAAGGAGGCACACAGACTGTAGCCTCAAGCAAGAGCTGACACAGCAGCTCAAGTTGGAAGTCAATGCAGAGCAGAATTCCTTCTTTCTGGGGATCTCAGTCTCTTTTCTCTTAAAGGTCTTCGAGTGATTGGACAAGGCCCACCCATATGGGGAAAAATCCATTGGCTTTCCTCTGTCAACTGATGTAAATGTTAATGTCATCTAAAAAACATCTTCACAGCCAGGCCTAGACTCTGTATCCCGGCACCACAGCCTAGCCAAGGAGACTGGGAAACATCGGTGGGAGAAGGGGACTGGAGGAGCCACTGCCGCAGAAGCTGAAGGAGAGGCCCATTTCAAGACAGAGAGGGTGTTGAGGATGTCCAAAGCCAAGGGGCACATCTAAAATGTGACATGCAGACCCATACCAGGCCACACACTGGACAGACCACAGTGAAGCAAGCATAGGGGAGTCATTTTCTATCTGTTGAACTCATTCACCACCATCACCACCACCACCACCACCATCATCATCATCATCATCATCATCATCATCATCATCATCTCCACCAAAGCGTATAATTTCTAAGTCTTCCTCATTTCATTTTTCCAGCAGCGTAGACACCAGCCCTGCACTACATCTGCTGGTGTGGTTGGTTGTGGATGTAGGGTTGCAGAAGCAGAGGCTCGGGGAGGAGAGGAGGCCAGCATTTGGGATCACTCCCTCTCCAGCCTCAGCCAGTGAGAGAGAGAGAGAGAGCTCGGTCAGCACCGGGGGAAGTAGAGATGGCAAAGGAGAGACCCTGAAGAGAACAGGGTTCACTCGCCCATAACTATGCAATGTGAAAATCTAGAGAATTTACGTAACTCACTTGGCAGCAAGACTTGATGCATTGGCCCAAAGTGACATGCCATTGTCATCTGTCCCACTTTGTAAGACTTCGTGCATTTGACTGCGGGGTCATGAATGACTGTGCTGCAGAATGCAGACCCAGATCCCAGGGGAGTGTTTTGCAACACATGGCATATCCTCCAAATCTCTTCCATGGTCTGAAATATTCTGAATATCTCCTTTCATCTGGTCCCCAGGGATTTGACCAAGGAGCTAAAAATTTGTAGTGAGGTCAAGAAAGACTTGAACTTACTTGTTCAGGGTGTGAAAGATAAGAGGTAGAGGAGAAAGGGGTGATTAGAGACTTGAGAGGGAAGAAGAAAAACAGAGCTTCCCGGGTCAGGAAGAGGGACTGTTTTTCCCATGACCAGAACTATACGGGGGGTGGCATTTGAACGTGCTGTCAGGCCTGTGGATTTGGTGGACACCCTCATCCTTGGACTGAATCCAATGCCTATTGGAAACACTTGGAGGGGGAAATTGCCTCTGTACTGTACACGTGCAGACTTTATTCTTGTTACTCAATGAACAGTACGGTTAACAGCTATGCACACAGCATTTCTTTTGTGCAGGTATTACAAGATGATTTAAAGTTCATGGGAGGATCTGCCTTGCTTCTGCACAGATACCATTTCATAGAAGGCTCTTGAGCATCCACGTGAGGTCCTGGAACCTTCCCCCGTGAATGCAGAGGAACAACTTCAGAGAGTGATGTGGTGTGACAGCCAACCGAAAGCTGTGTCCTCTGTGATCCAGGATCAGGAGGGACATAGCTTTGCTTCTTGCTGTAATACTCTCTGCCCTTTCTAAGACCAGAAGCTCAAGCCTAGCACATGAGTCACCAGAACCATAGGCACTGAACTTCAGAAAACCCTTGCAAAACGCCCTCATCGACATCTTCAAGTCTGAAATCACAGGGTGTCAAGACTTTGCAAATTAAGGGGAGGTATACTTAACATCTGTGAACCTCAGCGGTAGAGGGAGCAAGAACATGCGTCCTGGACACTCTCGTTAGCCAGGGCCCCTTCAGCTTTTCGTAAGAAGAAGAGAAACGCCCTTCATTTCTCAGCATCAGTGGGCAGAAAGGAATGTAGCAACCACACTCTACCCAACGGGCTTAGAGTGGACCCTGGTGCCTCTACCACCCCCACCCAGTCCCAAGCCCACACTGGAAAGGCGTTCTTTCAGCGGACCAAGTAAAAGATTGCTGATAGCTGGAGTGCTCCGTTTGCTTTCTAAATAAATCAAACTCTTCCAAAGTTTGACGGGAACCGTGCAGCGTGTGCCGGGTCCCCACATCCCATCCCTCTCCTCCTACCCACCTCCAGCTTGGCTTGGATTCCTTCTTCTCACTCATCAGCACCAGCTGGTGGTGGCCTGGGCTGGTCAGACAGGCCCTGGCCAGGCCTGCAGGATGTTTGCAGCCCAGAAGGGGACAGCAGGCAGGCTTTCTTTGATGACTGGATCAGCCGGCACAAGAGGGGAAAATGTATGTCCAACCCCTAAAGGAATGGTCGGCCCAGTTCCTCTAGAAACGTGGCCATTTGGTGTTCTATGTCCCCATTCGATCTCAACTCGGCCCCTGGAGTAACACTGGACATCTTGATGTGGAAGATGACTTTCAGGCGTCAGTGATGGCAGAGCTCAGGAGCAGATCAGACGCAGAACTTCCAGTGTCCCTGGGAGTTGGGGAATGCAGTTCATAGCCTGTTGTGCTTAGCTGTACAGGAGCAATGGCGAGAGAGGGGGGTGGGAGGTGGGACGTCTCCTCATGGCAACGGATGCCATGCCATGTCCGATGACGGCATTGGGTCTTGTCCTATCATGTCATTTCACCTATAGAGTGGCAATGCATGTGCAAGGACATCAGGAAGACTTCTCAAAAGTAAGAATGTATAAAGGAAGAATTTGCAGAGCCAAGTGTATATGAAGGGTTAGCAAGAAGCAGACACCGGGGCCTCGGTCCCTTCTCATCTAGTGGGTTTTCTGCCCACGGTGATTGTGCTGGGCAGAGCCCGTGAGAACAGATCTTCCCCTGTGCAGTCGTGGGATTCCTGT